TCTATACCTCCCAAATTATAAAGTAACTGTAAGTGTGAAAAAAGATGTTTTATAAATAAACAGTATCACTGCTCATTATTAATATTATCAGTTAGATCTGCTGTGCTGTCATTGTGTTTGTATCGGCCTGAGAGGACTGTGGGGAAGAATCTGGTTTGGTATCGGTCCTGTGAGGCAGTATCAGCTCCTGGCACCGCCGAGACATTCCCGCACACTGAGGTGTTTTAAATGCCAGCGTGAGCTCACCGCTCTAATGAAACATTTCTCACCCACACCTCCCGTAAGCACTGACATTCGGCAAAGCTGAATTCCCCACCGCCGCACATAAACACTGCAACACACACTGCGGCCTTTCTCTAACTATCAGATAAGAGAAGGCCAGCGAGGGGGGAGATAACCTGCACACCCGTACAGAGAGCTGCTTGTTTACATTTCTAAGCAGATTCTTCAAAAACACACCACTGCAGATTCTGTAGGATAAAGCGTGTATCTACTCTGACCCTCACGGTCATCTGCATTATCTGAGTTTTCCTGAAGTGTGCAACTACAGGGCCAAAATGTAAACTTAAGACACATTCTCCTCTGAGACGGGCACTGTTTGTTTATTAAAAGGGCCGATATCACGGAAAAACAAATTTCTCTTGCTTTTTTTTTTAAATCTATCTTTTTTAATAAAGGAGTCTGAAGTAATATTGTTAGAGTTTCTAAATGTACTGTTAATACAGTCCACATATGGAAACTATGCTGCAAATTCCTTGTTTCTGTCACAAGAACCAGCTCATTTACATATACACACATATTCAGTCTACAGCAGTTTGGCCCCGCCCACTCACACTGAAGTTATAAAGAGTGTTTCAGCTCTAAGTGCTTATTAAATGAGGCACAATACAAGGCAGCCAATCAGAACAGAGCTGATTTGCACGTAAGCTGGCCTCAGGGGTAACAAAATAAAATACAACGAAAATGTAGGATATGAGCGCTTTAGGTCCTGTTATGTCATATACAAGTTAGTAAGGCGTACCAGCTCATTTACATGCACTCTTAAAAACAACAGTTCCCGGCTTGGATGTAGGGTTCTAGGAAAAACCTTTTATTTAGTGTGGAACCTTAAGCACAAATATTCAGAATGCAATTAACCGCTTGCAAAATTATTATTGACTGCAATCGCAATCCACTCGAAAAGTCAATTTCTCCATCAAGCAAAGAAAAAAGACTTTGACCGAACTCTTCAAAACAAACTTGGAGTGAGAACAACAGCGGCAGTAAATTACTTCAAATTATTAGAGCGGGGTCGGCAACTCTTTTACTGCCCTGTTGTGGCTCCACAGCAGAATCAGGTTTGTAGGTAAAAATAAAATAATCCTCCTTTACAGTAAAATAAAGCTCTGCTGATCGTTCAACACAGTTTAACAATAAATGGTCTTAAACTCTGGAGTTAATGTAGAACTGCTGATTCACCCTTTAACCCTGAAGATCAGCACAGACTGCTGGTCACCATAGCAACACAGACAACAATCTCACCTAGCTAGTAGCTAACGAAACGGCAAAGAGAGAGATTTAAGACGAACATCAATAATTTGGAGATGAATTGACTTATTTGTGTTTATAATCACTCCAGCTGGTTTCCTGATACGATTAATCTGCAGCGAGAAAATGACAAACACTAAAAAGTCACGAAGCTGAAGTCAGTTTCTCATTCGCCAGCTTCTTGTTTGAATTCTCCCGTTCCACCTTAAACAGTGCAGCAGTTACATTCTGTTGCCTCAGGCACCATTTAAGGTGGAACTCTGTGTTCGACATTTTACAAGAAACTGTTTCAGTTTTGGAAAAGTTTCCTGCCGGAGATGCGAGAAAAGTGTCTATAGCTGAGCTCAAGCTTAAAGCAGAGCAAAGTCAGTATGTTTTCATTTTTTTATTTTATATATTTAGCCTATACAAGCACATTAACACACACTGAAACATATTTACAGCCAAGATGGCAAAACGGATATAGAATGTTGTGGTTTGATTTTCGCTGAAAGGACAAAATGGCTCTTAACATTTGGGTATTCGCTGTATTAGACTAAGAAACAATGGAACATGCTATGCTGAGTATCTGGAGGGTGGAGCTGTTTTTATTTCATTCCTGAAGCTGAAAACATTTTGAATTAAACTCTGCAGAACAGCAAACTCACAGCTCAGTGGCCATTAACAGAACTATTAACAGAATTATACTGGTTCTAATGTAAGCTAAACTCTGTTTGGGTTACTGTACTTGCAAAAAATCATTCCTGCACAGACGAAGCCTGGGAGATATCTAAAAACAATTAGAATGATATTTATTTTATATGATTATTATAAATGATTATTTATTATATCGCTAGCCGCAGGCAAAGCTACACCCACATTCTTTACACATAAAAAAAACAAGGCGTTTTCCGTCATCACAGAGTTTTCATAGCTCAACTAACCACTTAAGCTGTACAGAAAACACTGCTAATTTTACCCAGTAAATCACACACTGCAGAGTCAGGTGAGTTTACTGTAGCGCAGCATTTTAAAGGCCTCATTATAACAGTAAAAGTGCATAAAACATCACATGTACATATTATTTAATGTGTTTTGTTGCCATATTTGATCGTGTAAATTTTATATGTTTCCAAACCGTCCTGGAATTGGTACTTATGAATATCTTGATTCACCAAAACACTCAGCAGAAATGCATCTAGAACCGTGATTGGTCGGGGCGCTCACAGCACACAGTGAAAAGCCCTGTGATTGGTTAGAAAACGTCTGTGCACTTCGGAGCCTTCTGAGATATCAGCACTGCAATAACAATCTACCCTGTGCTGTGCAGCTGCACCGCGTGAGCAGTTCTGTCTGTCAGTGTTTATCGTAGTTGGGAGCAAAAAACAAACTCCAAACAGGCCAAAAGCAATAAAGCACCTGTTACACTCGCTAGCTCAGCACATATGGAGTGGACATTAACCCCAGAACTGCCCAGGTCACTTCACTGAGGTGGTCAGCAGCTTGTTTGGTAAAAAACACAACACAAAAAAAGAGAAAACATCCACAATTAAAGTAGTAACAGTATTATTTTAGCCCTGAGATGGACTGGCGACCTGTCCAGGGCCTGTCCTGCCTTCCGCCCAATGACAGCTGGGATAGGCTCCAGCACCCCACCGCGACCCAGAAGGATAAGCGGTTTAGATGATGTATGTATGTATGTATGTACAGTATTATTTTATATGCATTCATGGTACTGCATGTACCAGTACAGATAAAAAGCAGAAAGTCTCCGTATGGTTTTTTAAAAATTTCTGTATTATTCTGTTTTAATCCATCTGCAACAACCTGTACTCTACTATACACTCTAATCACTACTTCATTATCAAAGTCTGTTTTAATGACATGTGAAAGTATTAGATTATTAGTACAGTATCAGCGCTCTCTGTTGGTCACCTTGTTTTATTATTTGAGTAGTTAAAAGGGAATTCCACCGATTTTCCAAAATTCCTGCATAATTAATTTTTTTAATGTAAACAGAGCGATTGGTTTGGTGTGAAATGGTTGATTGTAGAGACTCAGATGTCTTTACAGTGGTGGTGATAGGAAACCAGGGGTCGCCATGGCTACAACACAATATAGTAAAATTTTCCTCACTTTTTTGAAATGGGAGTTTGGTGTAGCATGTAAACTACATGAAAGCCCATGCAGTCTATATATGGAAAAATATGGAAATCTATTTTTTGTGAGGTCACAAAATCCAACTCATTTACATACAGCTTGAAGCCTTTTATTTATTATCCAAAACCACCAATGAACCTACACGTGTTTTATATGGAATGCTGACAGTAAAAAAGTGATATTTCTTTGTGGACTACTTTGCTTTATGATGTTCATATGGGGGAGGTATGTACACACACACACACACACACACACAAATATTATATGTGTGTGTGTATATATATCGCTGTTGTTGGAACAAGGACAAAAAGAAGGACAAAACCTACTTTACTTTTAATGTAATTCAATGGAACCAGACTTTTTTCCAAGTCATTTTTGGCCGTTTCTTTTGGTTCATTCATCAATTTCTAAACAATGTCAAATTATGTCAAAAAACTGAAAAACGACAAAACTGGAGATACCATACCAACAGTCCCAGGTTTTGTCCCAACAGCAGCGATATATATATACACATATAAACCATTTCATGTAGTAACTTTCTGTGAGGGAGCTTTTAGAGGTGGACGTCTGGTTCCTATCACCACCACTGTGAACAGTTCTGACTCAGTAAGTTTCTCTAGACCTGAGCGTTTCACACCAAACCACTCTGAATGACTCTGTTTACATCTCAACCACTTAATTATGCAGACAAATTTGAAAATCAGTGATTAGTCAGTATAAGCATAATGGGAAGGTGGGGCAGCCTTGTCATCATTAAAAATAATTACAACAATTGCAAATAGCAGCTATTTTAAAGCTGTATGTATATTTAGGCATAGGTTATTTAACATCAATATGTATATCTAATATACAAGTGTATCTACTTTTGCAGCTGCCTACCTTGGCGTAGTGCAAAGACCGCCCTGTTCTTCAGTTGAAGGTATGTGGTATGTGGTGTTGTGTAATTTTTTTTTGCATCTGGGGTGCGAGTTGTTTTCATGTGGAGGGAGTCACAGTGAGGTGGAAGCCTATAGCTTTTGGTGACATCCCCCCCGCCCCCCCCCCTCCCTCCCTCCCCCCCAGTTTGGCTGTATGTTATGTGCCTTTTTGTTGGTGTTTTAATAAAAAGCAGGTCTTCCCTGAGTCTTATTACACTAATATCACAGTATAAAGAGGGAAAACGACACACTTGAGACATAAAATAAGATTCTAGATATTAAGGGATGGAAAACTCAGTGTTTGCCCACATGGTTAGAGACCTTATGGCCAGAGAAAATACTGACCACAGGAAATAAAAGGTCACAGGTATGGTCACCTCCTCTGGCTCCACCACAAACAATCCTATGTTCACCAACCTGTGCGTTCCAGCGCTGCTCGGAGCCAAACCTCACTCCTCTTCTTCTGGGTTTAGAAGCTCCAGCTGATCTCAGAGGTTGACACCAACAACCTGCACGTCCATTCACAGCAAAACAGGCAAAACCGCACCGCAGAGAAGACACGTGCACGCGCGTGAGACAAATGTAATCCCAGTTTTCCAAGTTTCTCCTCGTGGTTCAGTTCTCTCAGATCAGATAAAGCAGCATGCCCCTCAGTCAGTGTCAGCGTCCCACCCATCCACACAGTCACGTTTATCAGCTTTATTTCAGTTTAAAGCTTAAACTGCCTGTGTGCGCGCGCGTGTCCACCAGGGTCTTACCTTGCGGAGTTTGACAGACCCCCCATGCTGCTGAACTCTCTGAGCCTCCCTCTCTCTCTCCTCTCTCTCTCTCTCTCTCTCTCACTCTCTCTCTGCTCACTTTAAAACAATGAGATTCGTTGGATGCAGGTGACGTCATCCCCACATTTTACGCCGTGCCTCAGTGCGCATGTGTGTAAACCAACTCCGCGCTCGGGTCCATGGGAAATGTAGTTTCTCACTAGAGGCATCCGGGTCGTCCCTGTTCTGAATATTTTCAAGCATCGTATTCAACTGTAATTCGTTGAAAACATCAATGTAAGTGTTGTTTAGCGATTTGAAAGCTTGTTCTGTGAGTGTTAATATTAAACAAACGTCTTTTGTTATGGTCTCAGTGCTTGGAAGGGCTGGTTTGCCTTGCACAGCTGGTAGAATACAAACTAAAAGAATGAATAAAAACTTACAAAACATACTTTTTTTTGTTATTATTAGTTCGCATTTCACCAAAAGGTAATATAAAATACTGTAAATGTTCAACCATATGGTGGACCTATAAGTTCATCTGTGATCACTTTCTGACCACAGAGCTGCCCCTTGAAGCACAGTTTAGGTGTTTCTGATAAAGTGGCCAATAAGTGGAAGCACAATTTAGGTGTTTCTAATAAAATGGCCAGTTAGTGGAAGCACAAGCTTGCATGTTTCTAATAAAGTGGCCAGTGAGTTGAAGTACAAGCTAGGTGTTTCTAATAAAATGGCCAGTGAATGGAAGCAAAATGTAGGTGTTTCTAATAAAGTGGCCAGTGAGTGGAAGCACAAGCTAGGTGTTTCTAATACAGTGGCCAGTGAGTGGAAGCACAAGGTTGTTGTTTCTAATAAAGTGGCCAGTGAGTGGAAGCACAAGCTTGGTGTTTCTAATAAAGTGGCCAGTGAGTGGAAGCACAAGGTTGTTGTTTCTAATAAAGTGGCCAGTGAGTGGAAGCACAAGGTTGGTGTTTCTAATAAAGTGGCCAGTGAGTGGAAGTACAAGGTAGGTGTTTCTAATAAAGTGGCCAGTGAGTGGAAGTACAAGGTAGTTGTTTCTAATAAAGTGACCAGTTAGTGAATCTGAGGCTTATATCAGATTTATAAGCTGAATTCTGAAGCTATTTGTCTTAAAAGCCTGTTGGGGGAGGAGTGGTCAATGGGACTGATTTAGGCAAAAAAACAGGCCACAGACAGAATTACTGCGGATTATGACAATAATTGTGCATTGGGGGGATGGGGGGGTGCTGGAATTATGGCCATGGCAGCAGCTGGCCATGCAGATTGTGCCAGGAGCTGAACGACCACCAGATTTTAATGTCCAGAAGTGCCTCACTCCCAGAAGACATATGCTGTGTCTGAGCTGTGTGCTAAACACTAATTCTGACTGTTCTGAATACACAGAGGAGAATTTGACCATATACTTCTTTTTTACTCTCTAAAATTCTAATATAATTTGAATTTAATATAATAATAATAATAATAATAATAATAATAATATTTTTTGTGTGTAATGGAGAATGTGGTGTCTTATTTGCCGGGGCCAAGAAACCATTTTATGTAAATTCAAAGGTTTATTATAGTTTGAATATATTTGTTATATTCATTGTCACATCGACAAAGTTGGATTCACTCAGAATATCCAACATGCATGCTGTGGAATCTGAATACAAAGCGCTGCGGCTGGAAAATTTTGACAACGTGATGAATTAACCCTCTGGAGTCCACAAATGTGCCTGCGCGTCAAATTCTCTGTTTTTATATCTGTCTCTCTCTCTTACAATAATGCAGCGCAATACAAACATGTTCTGAATCTGTAGAGTCGCCCTTTCCATTCCATCTGATCACGAGATCATACGAGTCTCACATCTGGAGTTATGAGCCTATGAAGAGGGGCTGAGATACACGTCATCTGCCTCTCACCGTGTGGAACTGGTGGATTCGTGTGTCCATCTACATTCTGTGTGAAACTGACCAATGGACACTCAGGAAATCACTAAGGACTGACCATCACGCCGGAAACCCTTCATTCCTCATTCAGTCCACCTGAGACACATGAGAAATGGCGTACAGAGAGTTTACAGCTGCTGAAGTTGCTGCAGTGGTTTTGTAAAGTAGTGATGAAGATAACAGAGCATTTTGATATGATATAGGTTAAGTATACCAAAACAGCTTAAAAGAAACAAAATGTCTTTGACAAAAATAAAAACTTTGATTTTGCTGAAATTCTGTGTTTTATGACAGTTTTGAAACAAGATTTTGGATTAAAATGCATTTTTTAAATTAGATTGATGGTGGAAGGATACATGCAGGGTGTTGTGAGGCAAAATAGTCCCCAAAGAAAACAAAATTTTAATAAAGTGGCCACTGAATTGAAGTACAAGGTAGGTGTTTCTAATAAAGTGGCCAGTGAGTCGAAGCACAAGCTAGGTGTTTCTAATAAAGTTGCCAGTGAGTGAAACCACAAGCTAGGTGTTTCTAATAAAGTGGCCAGTGAGTGGAGGCACAAGCTAGGTGTTTCTAATAAAGTGGCCAGTGAGTGGAGGCACAAGGTAGGTGTTTCTAATACAGTGGCCAGTCAGTAGAAGCACAAGCTAGGTGTTTCTAATAAAGTGGCCAGTGAGTGGAACCACAAGGCGGGTGTTTCTAATAAAGCGGCCAGTAAATCAAAGTACAAGGTAGATGTTTCTAATAAAGTGGCCAGTGAGGGAAGCACAAGGTGGGTGTTTCTAATAAAGTGGCCAGTGAATATAAATATCACCCTTATACAGGAGAGTAAACAGGATGTTTACATCAGCCTATTTTATGGAGGATGTGACTAATAATACGATCAGCATGGACAACATTCATCAACATTCCATATAAAAACTTATGTTCAGGTTCTCTGGAGGTCTTGGGTAGTAAATAAAATGCTTCAAGCTGTAGATTTTGTGACATCACAAAAAATATATTTCTGAATGTTTCCGTATATGAACCACAGGGGGTTTTACGTAGTTTACACACTACACCAAACTCCCATTTCAAAAAATGAGGAGAATTTTGCTTACTCATGATATGAGCCCTTTAAGCCCGCTCACAGACTGATACTTGACCAACATATACCATTAGGACACAGCAGCACATGCACTTCCTGTCCTGATTCACAGACAATGTGGTGATGCCATGCACCGTGTGGTTTTGTACATTTTCTCTGACTTTAGTATGTGAGAAAGCAGCCCGTTGTTCTGTGGCAGCTACGTAATCCACATCACTGTTTCCCTCCAAGTCTTTATTCAGCCACTGACTGAAGGGCCCTGGCTCGGCTTTTAACGCGTCCCAGTCTTTTGGCAGCCAGTGAATGTGTGATTATAGGCCAAGGCTGTTAACTTCACCTTTCCAACATCCAAGGAAACCAATCTACGAGCAGTATAAAGGAGCGGCACGGTCTGTTTAATGTAAAGGCCGCAGTGCACTTCTAAAGGTCAGGCTGGGAGTATTAGCAGCGCGTAAATATTTAAACAGAGCGGGTCTGCGCACTGTTACTCGTTCGGCCTCTGACGGAGGAGCGTGTTATAAGCTTAGGCTTTGGATAAGCTTTTGAAAAACAGCTTTGGCTGCTGGTCACGAGTTACACCACAAGGAGTTCACACCGAGTTCCCTCAGATTACATGACTCACGTACATCCTCATACTGACACTGCAGTTAATGGTTCAGATAATTCAAACTGGCGCATCGGACAGTGTTTGTCTGTTGCCATTGGAGTGAAGCAAAACATTTACTTCCTTCTCTCCCAGCTGGCTTTAAATGTTTATTTTAGAAAACACCAAAGAGCCATGAATCAGTGGATTAGCTAATCGCTATATGGCCCAACACAGTGACCGTACAGTAGACGCGAAATAACACAGGGCGAAGTGTTCCAGGGATATTTGATATACTTAAAAAGGTTCCAGTAGAAAATGCTTTAAGTCATGTTCTTGTATTCCTGTAACCACATCATTTGTAAACTTTCACAGGAATCAGACAGATGTTTCTCCAGATTCTGTGTTTATGATTACTGAGTTTTGAGTTTAAAAGGGGACTTTCACCGAATTCCCAAAATTTCTAAATGATTAAGTGGTTAAGATGTAAACAGAGTCATTCAGAGTGGTTTGGTGTGAAATGGTTGATTGTAGAGACTCAGATTTCTTTACAGTGGTGGTGATAGAAACCAGGCGTCACCATGACAACAACACAAATATAAACATCTTATTTACCCAAAACCACCAGTGAACCTACACGTGTCTTCTGAGCTTTATATGAAATGTTGATGATGGTAAAATAGTGATAAACCTTTAAAATCTTAACCTAAAAACTATCGTAGAACAGTGTCTCAGACATCAGGCAGTGTATTTAATTTTTGAATTGAGGTTTTAGCAGCATTAAACTCTTCAGACGTCTGGTTCCATTCACCACGACTGTAAAAAACTGAATAGAGCACTTCACATCAAATCACTCTGAATGAGTTTGTTTACATCTCAATCACTTAATTATGTAAAAAAAAAAAGAAAAGACATTGGAATTCACCTTTAAGTCACAAACTCACTCCTATATTATACTAATCTCCTCCCTGTGGTGGCTGTAATATAGCACCATTATGATAAACAGCTCACAGCGAGACCTAGCCTGCATGGTTTGGGGGGGGGTATTAACTATTACAACAGTAATAGTAAACGAGACAGTGAACAGTAAACGAGACTAAACAACATATCTCTCTGTTTTTTGACATTTGTATGCACAGACTAATCAAAAACACACCAATGTAAGTAAAACAAATGTCAATTCCATTGTGCAGGTATTTCCTCTTCTACTTGGTTTAAAATAAATCCAACAGCTACTTTTCACTAATCATATTTATTATGATGAATCTACACTGATCAGACATGACATTCTGACCACCTCCTTGTTTCTACACTCATTGTCCATTTTATCAGCTCCACTTACTATATAGGTGCACTTTGTAGTTCTACAGTTACAGACTGTAGTCCATCTGTTTCTCTGATACTTTGTTCTTCAGTGGTTAGGACCCCCATGGACCCTCACAGAGCAGGTACTATTTGAGTGGT